GTAGTTCAACATGTTAATGTTCTAATACAAGTAAGTATAACATGGAAAAGGAAATAAAATAGGTTTCATATCGGATGTGGATTTACTTTCTCTCACCTTGTAATTACACAATCAAACAATCTATAATTTAGCTCTGGCCTTCACTCACAAAAAAACATTTTGTTGAATTGGACACATTTTTCGAAGCTCTATTGACTGACATGCAATGACTGGGACTGATGGAATAATCCGTGAGGAATGAACTAGGAGCAGAGACATAATCATATTTTAAAAGACAGCAGCATCATAAGAGGCCAACAAGAGTGACAGACTGTGTCAGTGTGCTGAAGGAGTTGGGACCAGCTAGCCAGGCCAGTCTCTATGGACTTTCCAAGGGGTAAAAATGCTGCTGCTGGAGTACTGACTGGAAGTATTGCCGATATCATGTCTACCATCCTCTTAAAATACTCAGCAATATCAGTCTCAGGAAGAAAGGTGTTTTAACGCTTATTAAAAGAAAAACATGCATTCTTGTTCTCAGGAGGGGACATTGACAGAGGAGTACTGGAAAAGTACACAGTAAGTACTTCATAGTACTTGTGGGGGTAGTTTCACTAGTACTGAGTCCAACAGGATCAATCTCACGAAGAACTAATGGCAACAGCAAATTATTCCCTCATCAAACTTAGCAGATGTGGCTTTATTTTGGTCTCAGCAGGGGACTTTGACAGAGTATTTCTCAAAAAATACACAGTAAAAGTACTTCAATGTATTGTAAGTAGTAGGCTAATACAAAGTCAAACAGTATCAATTTCATTAAGAATTAATGGTAACATTATATTTGTATCATTCATCAAAGATAGCAGAAAAACATGCATTATGGACTATGACAGACGATTACTCACAAAGTACACAGTAGAAGTACTTCATTTTATTTCTGGTAGAAGTCAAACTAGAACCGAGTCCAACAGGGTCAGTTTCCTTAAGAACTTGTGGTAACAAATATTTGTATCACTCGTCAAATATAGCAGGAATAATGAAGAGCAGCTGATTTGAAAAAGCAAACTCGAGAGACGGCTGAGTGACCGCAGTGCAGAATCGCTGTATAGTTTAAATATCCTAACAATGTTGTCCATTTTAGACATAGGCTTATTATATTTACAGCCCTTAATAACATCCCATCTCTGGGCTCAATATGTGTCTTGGCCGTTTTCGTTGTCATCGCTAAATTCACCTTGTTTATAATAATCACCGTTCCTTGTTTTGAAATCACTTCCGTGAGTTTGGCCCCGCCCCTCACTCCAAGGACCATTAGACCATTTAGTAAGGTAAAAAGCAAAAAGCAAAAAGGCCTCTCAGACGCTCTTCCGTTTACGTGTTTAATAAAGAAAAAAAATTGGACGGTAGATACACGGATTATTTATTTATATATTTTTAGTTTTTTTAAAATCACTTTTTCTTCTTTTTAATCTATTCATTACTTTGGCACCGCACTTATACTAACTACTTTTTTTACACACATGCAACAAATTAAAGAAGATGATAGATAGATAAATAGATAGATAGATAGATAGTTAGGTCTATAGATAGATAGATAGATAGATAGATAGATAGTTAGGTCTATAGATAGATAGATAGATAGATAGATAGATAGATAGATAGATAGATAGATAGATAGATAGAAAGATAGATATTAATGATATTTACAAAGGGGGATTTTTGATTGCAAAGTCATGATTAATGTGGGTAAATTGGCCACGTACAACAGAAAATGTCATCACTTTATGTAATGCAGCCTTAAAAACCAGGAAAAGTTACGTTTATGCCATGATACCATAAACACAATTTAAGACAAGNCATATCACAATATCGACAAGATACTGATTCCCTAGACCCTACTGTGGGTTTACATAACTTACACAGCATACTATAAAATAAACAAGGCCCAGAAGGCGGGTGAACTGTGTTCGAGTCTTGGAAAAATCAGTAAAGCCCCCTCACAGAAGACAGTCACATACACACACTCACCTGACACACACACACACACACACTCACCTGACACACACACTCACCTGACACACACACACACACACACACACACACACACACACACACACACACACACACACACACACACACACACACACACACACACACACACGCACACACACACACACACACACACACACACACACACACACACACACACACACACACACACACACACACAGTTCCATCTTCTGTGAAGTTTTGGAGTGTGTTCCTCGGCTGAGTACGCTGACATCAGATGCGACAGTGAGCCTCTCTCCATAGCTGGGACTGTGGACCACATGAGACGTGTGGCTTCTTCTGTTGACACCAGGCAGGGCTGTGCAAGTCGATGAAAGCTTCTCTGTTCTAGTTATTGTGCAGCACTGGCTGGGGAAATGAAACAACTCCAGACATCCACAGGTGAAAAAAGTAGGAGTTCCTGTCCAATGCGAGTTGTTCACAATCCAAAATATATTATTTTGAGAAAAAATAATGTCCAACACAATACAAACATCTGTATATGAAATGATCAGTCTTCTTATTTTGGGTTTTGAGTTAGAATGTTTCTACACGTTTTTAACTGTCTTTCAGGTGAGATACTTCAGGCAAAAGTTTTTTTTTTCATGCACTAGTGAAAAGAATACATCCAAAATACACATTTAGATGTTTGTATGACTAACTTAGATTATTTACGACTGTAGATTTATTTCGAGATGTACCAAAAGTTATTTTTAGATTATGCATAATTTGCATATTTATGTAACAATTCAGAGAACCTTGTAATATTGTAATCAACTTGGGACGTTTCATGGTAATATCTGTCTATAGTGTATTTCTATCCCTTTCCCCTGTAGTGTCCTGCATAATATATCATATTTTCATGGAGTTTTTTCTCATACTCTGAGCCAGATATCTCCTCTTCACTATCACTGGCATACACCACACTTTTCCAGTTACATTCTTCTTTATATTCTGAATGGTTTTAGCGAGGGTATTTTTTCATATATCATTCATAGCCTGATTTACATAAAAATGTTTGCTAAAATGATGCCAAAAGGTTTTAGTTCTTTTCAAATTGCTTTGAGCATTTTCTGATTTTGTGGATTTATTCAGAGAGACATCTTGAATTCAATACCCTGTGAACACCTTTGACTCTTGTACGTCATCAAAGTGAAGCAATCTATTGAACCTGGCTTTATGCAAGATTTAGATATCTGTTCTTGAAAAGTATGCAAATATCAGCACAAGTTGTTAAGATAATGCCTCATTTGCATATTTAAACTACATTTTACAGAAAACGTATTATACATATTATACATGTATTAAACGTAGTAATTACTGATATCTATTTTTTAAATGTTTACCCTATTAACCTACTGTGATATATAGGCCTTATTGTCACAGAAATATTTTAAATAATTTAACTGACTATTATTGTCATCCTTTTAGGATTAACACCCTTAAATATCCCTTGTTTTGTTTTTAATAAGTTGGTTTGAACTAATTTCAATTTTAATTTAATAAATTAGGTGGATGTTATAATATCTTTTCACATAAGAAAAAGGGGTTGTGCGTTTGTTTGTTGATGTTTTGGCTCTCTGTCTGGAGAAAACACAGGACTTTTAAAAATGTATTTCCATTTCTGTGTTTTCTTATGTCTTATGGAGTCAGTTGTAGCTGCTAGTTAGTTAGTTTGTTGTTGTTTATAATGACAATACATAACTAGCAGTATTTGGTACACTGACCGTAATGCGAACAATTGTAAGGACTCCCCCTTTAACAAACACAATCACACAACAGGAGTATATCTCTATTTTTATTTGTGTATATATACACATATAAAAAATAAGGGACATATGTACAATGATAATAAATATCAACACGTTTGTACAAGTGAAATAAGTTACTTAACATATTTTAAAAACAAACATAAAAGATCATTAACAGACGAGCAAAAATGGGGCAAAATGAACTTGGGGGTGATAATAGAATAATACAAATAATAATGCAATAAAACAGCAGAAAACGTTATTAGCAAACAAATGTGTAAGAACTGAAAAAATGCACATACAGTACATTACGCATGCACTTTTCTATCAAACTTGAGACCTGCAATTCTTAATCCTTTTAGTTCTTGCAACATGTTACATTAAATAAAATGCCTGATTGTAAAAGGGAAATATATTAAGACAAGTACCAGTGTAAGGAGCTAAAATGTTTTAGCTGTTTTGCTTTAAGGGATGTAGAAATATAAAGTGGGCACATTCTGTCACTGAGCTGCTTCAAATCAACAGATACATTTTTGGTTTTTGGGTCTGGACAAATTAAATAATGGTTAAAGTTTTGGTACATTACCCGGCCTTTCATAAAGTAAGGGGTTAAGAATTTGGTTCCAGCAGATCTCTACTGATATACAAACAGGAAGCAAACAGGAAGTCCATCAGCTCAAGCTGTTTCGCCTGAGGGATAATTTAGCTGCATACAAAATATGCAGAAATGTTGTAGACGTCAGCTCAGTTTAGCAAAGTGGACGGATTTCTGAGACTTAAAGATCCAGTGTGTAGGATAAAGAGGGATTTATTGGCAGAAATGTTAAATATTTTGTAGGAATTGTGTTTTCATTTGATAAGGATCAAGTCCTCAATGCGGAGTTAGCCATTTTGCACCGCCATGTTTCTACAGTAGCCCAAAACGGACAAACCAAACACTGTCTCTAAAAAGGGATTTAACATTTGTTTTGAAGGGGCAGCTTGAATTTGGTGGCGCGAAGGCCTCCGCAAATTCACGCTTTGAAAAAGGAGGGGTACTAAATCCTACACACTGACCCTTTAAATATCAATCTGTAGTCAAATTCAATCAAAACTATTTCAACAAGAACAATAAGCAACTGCAGTCTACTTTGGCTTATCCAAAAGGTGAAGAGGCACAGAAAAAGTAAACCCGTTGAGATGCAGCCATGAATTCCTGTACAACCCTGGAACCATAAAATCGGACATATCTTTAGTTGTTGTTTTTTTTCAAAGAGAGCATTGTTGTTCCACAATATTAGTGTCTGTAAAAGTCCAAAAAATGGCCGATCGAAATTATGCACTTGTACACAGATGATCATATCAAAGATGTCGGGTCCACTTGCAGAGGATCATGCAACACTATGATGGAGGGCCGATGGCTGAGTACCTCTTCAACCTCACTTCCTTTTTGATATTCTACATCTCTCTCAGCGCTCTGTACACAGTGGGGGGGAAACAACAAGGTCTTCTTGTCCTCCCCTTCCTTCATACAGTTCTCCTCTGGTCCCGACAGACACGTCCCAAAAAAACGAAAGCCACCCCTGATGGACGAAGAGAGAGGGCAAAAATAATGTTAGGTTAGAGAGGGGAAGCGGATGTATTTCAAAGTTTCCTTGAATTTAGAACAAGAAGTAGGCTATATTATTTCATCCTCATGAAACCATGACATTCAGTGTGAAACAGTGTTAACACTTCATCCTACCACTCCGACTCATTGGACCTGACTTAAAAACAACAGATGTAATCTCTAGCTACAGTAACATTAACAAAATATATTTATTTGTCAGTTTTGAGCAGGAGATTGGTGAAAAGGTCCCGCACACTGTCTGAATCTTGCAAGTAGAACATTTTTATTAAACGGACATTTCAGTCCGACAAAGGTCCTTCTAAGGTCAACTTATTTTGATCCTTGTCAGATTGAAACATTTTCTCGTTTATGAAATCTTCCAGTCGCAAGATTCAGGCTTCAGGCAGTGCAGGTCCTTTTTCTTATCTTTTGCCATGAAAGTAGTTTTTCTGATGCACCTGTCCCCTGGAGACTTATATAAAAGTGTGCAGCAAGGACAGCTTATGATGAGAAGGAGACTGGTCAAATGGTGCAGAAAATAGGGTTTAAAATGACTGGAGTCTAACGCCATGCTATCAGCTCAGTGAGAATAAAGCTAATGATGTTGGCATTCAGATAATGCATTGTGATTTTAAAATAGGCTTTGGTAGCCATGGTAGTGTTTGATTCCATAAGGAATAATAACACGACTTTATATCTACAGCAAGATGAGTCTTGTGCATTTGATTAGTCTCTGCTCGTGGTTCAATTGGTGTTATCTTAAAGCATCAGAGGCAGACATGATAATCTCTATTGTATCATTATTTAAATTACAGGAAATACAGATATTTGATTCCTTCTCAGGAGTTAGATTTCAGAAAAATCAGATGCATGTCTGCTAAATCTGGAGCTATAAGACAGTTAGCTTAGCATATTATTTGACAACAGGGATGAATAGCTAGCCTCGTTATGTTTAGTTGGCAAAAAAACCTGCCTTTGTCTTTATAGCTCACTCATTTACATGTAATCTCCTAATCCATGCGAGAACCAAATTGACGCATTGCAGACTCTAATGGGGTTATATGCCGGACAATTTATTTACAGAGAGCAGTAAACTGAAGTGTTTATACATTTCGGTTTTTGTACGGATTAAATTATTATTTAGTTACGCTTTTTTACCTAATTAAGTTAAGGAGGAACAGCACAGTGTTGAGTACAAACTCATTAAATCTACGAGCCATATGCACTAAAGTATGTTATGTTCACAGTGTAGTGTATTGAGAGGAGACCATTATTCAGTACATTCAAGAACAGACAAAGAAAGAGGGGCTGGACATCTATAAGACCATTTAAAAAAAAAAAAGTTACTTTCTCAACAACCATTCGTCTAATGTACTTTACACTTGGCAAGTATATACCGCTGAGGAAGCAGTGTCAAGTGGGAAGTTGTTTGGATGATGAACGGTATGAGTAAGCTTCAAGCGCCAACGCTAAAGGCCGAGCTATCAACCTGTTTCTAAAAAATCTAGTTTTGAATGGGCTTGTCTACACTAAGATAGAGTGATCTTCTGTTTGACTTTGTCGATAAGTGTTCGTACCATCACTTTCACACTTGGCCCCAAGGAAGTGTAGTGTCGAGTGTGAAGTTGTTTGGATTAGCAATTCTCGAGAAAGCAGAAAGCAGCAATACCGGAGGCCAAGAAACAGGCCGAACGGGGTCTACACGGGTAAACAAAATGGTTCTTAACACTACACCGAGAAAGGACTTTGCTTAAATCTGTTTGCATGAATTTAATTAAGTGGAAAAATACCTTTCTCTGGTTCACGGCCGCTTTCCTGCCTGGAGCCAGCAGTTTGGCAGCACGGCAGCAATCAGTCTGTCTGTCTGTCCATCCTTCCATCAGCACTGTGTGTGTGTGTGTGTGTGTGTTTGGTGTTTTAGTCCACAGTAGCCCGGGTCAGTCTCTGGGCATCGGTATGAGGGGGAAGGGGTTTCATGGGGTTTTAAGGATGCATCACAAACACACTGTGGTCCAGGATGGTTGGCATTCAAAGGACTAAAAAGTGTGTAGGTGTGTGTGAGTGGGAGGGGTATTTTCCTTCTTGGCAGTGCAAGTTACCGCCCTCACCATACACTAAGATTTAAAGCACTTATTGAGACATCCACAGCGGTCGCAACAGTGAGGGTTCAACTACATTCTCCATGCCTAATGTCTTCACGTCAGCTTCAATTTGGAATTAAGTGTGCAGTTATGTAACGCTGCTAAGAGCTGAAAGCAAATAACCTTTTCTTTCTGCAGAGATAAAGAATCGTCCTATAAAGGGCTCAGCCAAAACACATATCTGTTACACACTCTGACTCTAATAAATGTCGTACGGAGTGCACTTGTAGTGTATTGGACTTGAAGGTCACCGCTGAGCAAGGAATGTGCCCTCACATTGTCATTCACAGAGGGGATCCATTAGTCTCCTAATAACCGTTTGAACACGGCTGTAGTCGTGTAAGACGTATAAAAAGGAACAACAAGAAATGTCTTAATTCAAACCAACCATCACGTCAAATGAAAGTGGAAGGGATCAAGGACTTTCTCCGAGAGTAAATACAACTTGGGAGAAACAAAAAAAATTACAAATTGAGCAGAGAAAGTCTTGAGAGACTGTCCTTCATTCAAACCCCCCCTTGTGTCTTTCTCTCCAATTCACTTCATTTTCCATTTAATTTCCTCTCTCTTTGTCCCTGGCTCTCTCACCTCTCTGTCCCTCGCAGAGCGCCTGCTATGGGGACGTGATTGTCGTCTTGCTTCGAGATTAATTAGTCTTTTTTATACCGCTCTCACACTCTTGGCTCACTAATACAAAAAGGGAAGACACGCTTCCAGTTTTTAAGCACAGTAAGCTGAAAGAAAGTCTCAAAGGACCAGAAGGACACAGAATCAGTTCAATATTTTCCAGTCAGTTGCACTTGCCATTCATCAAGCGGGTTTCAGCACAGAGGGCTAAAAGCCTCTTGGTCCACTCAACGTCAATGAAACGTGCCCTTCAGAGCACATGTAACGCCATTTGTTAGATTTCCCATGCTCGAGGTGTGCTCCTCTGTGTTCAGCCTTTTTTTTTTTAAATACACAATTTACACAGGTGGCGACGGCACAGTGGAAGCAGAAAAAAGCCACAACCATGACTGCCCGGAACACACTAATTATAGGAGTGCATGTTGGCGAACACAGTGTATGAGTGTGTATTTTGAACATGCTGTGTGCTATAAATGTCAACAGTGAGCCAAACAGGCATTGGCCGAGCGAATGACAGCGTGTCACTGAAAGAGAGAGAGAGCAGGCGTCCTCAGGAGGAGGGAGGTAGGTTGGTTGTTTTGTTTTTCCAACTCGGGGAAACGGAGGAGGGACACGTCTAGACGGAGGACTCCTCGGGGTTGGCGTCGGGCAGAACGCTCCTTTGCTGCAGCGTGCGTCTAAGCTCCTCCTTGAAAGGGCTCGAGTAATCATTCCCGCTCAGGCCCAGACCCCCCAGCCCGCCGCCCCCAGCGCCAGCCCCGCTAGCCCTCTCCTCCCCTGCTGTGCTCAGGTTGAGGCGGATGTAGCCATTGCTACCCGAACCTCTAATGTTGGTGAGGCTGAGACGGCTCGGGGAGTGGATGGGCTGGCCGGGGATGGCGCTCGGTGACGCCGTGCTGCTCACGCTGCTGGGCCCTAGGGCGTGGCCGGGAACGATCTTCAGCGAGCCGTCCGAGTAGTAGTAGTTGGCGCCCGTCTCCCAGAAGCGGTCCTCGTCAGTGGGCATCTTGCTGGGCACAAACGTCGGCGGCTCTTTAGGGAGGGTGATGGGGTAAACCAAGGTGCTCTCAAGGGGCTTCATGTCGGCTCCTTTCCCCAGAGCGAGCTTCAGCCTCCTGCGCAGGTACAGAGCTGCGACGAGGAGCAGCAGGCACGCCGCTCCGAGGGTGATGACCAGCACCCAGAAGAGCCCCATGCTGCTGTCTGGAGCGCGGGCCTCCATGAACACAGGAGGGCTGGCCACCACGGCCACCTGGTAGCGCTCCGTCTGAAACTTCACCCCCTGCTCCTCAGAGTAGCAGATGTAGCGTCCCGCCTGCATCTGTCCCGCCGCGGGGACCACGAGGGCCTTCAGAGTGCGGTCGAAGTGTGGCCCTCCTGCTTCAGGGTCACCGAGCTGGAGCTCCCGGTCGTTCAGGACCCAGAAGGGCTGAGCCAGGTTGGAGACCAGCTGGCACGGCAGCACCATGTCCGACCCCACCACCACTGTGATGTTCTTCAGGCGGGAGTGCTCTGCAGAAGGAGAAGGAGAGTGGGTGTAAGAGGTGGTTAAGGGTTGTCCATCTCATTGACATTTGACTGCAGCTCCCTTCTGCTTGATTCAATTTATTTAACTAAATCCAAATGTATTCATTCAGTTCAGCTGCTCCTGCACTGGCAGTCTATTCCCACAAGGTGCCACTACTGAGGTGGAGCCCCCTACTCACCGGGGCTGGGGATGGAGACAGGCTTATCAAACTTGGCTTTCCCCCGGCTGAACCTTTCCAGCATGAGGTCCTGAGACAGGGAGGAGGTGGAGCTGGAGAGGAAAGGGCACAAAGCAGAACAGAAGATTAGTAATGTTCCCACTGAGTGCTACAGAAACAAACAATCTGAATCTACAGAGAACACAGCAAAAGATAATGTAAGCTATAAATGAGCCCCAAATGTCAGTTTGTCAAATTAGCCTTGTGTTACATCAAAGATATTGACCACAGCTTGATGATATAGTTAAATTTGTTCAATAACGGAATTCACAGCATGTAATTCAGGAGGATGTTTCTCAAAGAGCTTCAGGGTGATATTCTGTAATACCCTGCAATAAAAGCAGGTAATAAACTGTTTATTTCCAGCTGAATGACTTTCATTATGGTGTCAGTAAAGAGTAACATAATATCTGAATACTGCTTCAGGGGCTTTTAAGAAATATCAATACTAAGCGTATAATGTTATTTATATGTGTGTTAGAGTATGAATGCATGGGGTCTGGGCTCACCCGCGGTGGAGGTCGATGCGGACGCAGGCGCGGCCCTCGCTGTCCCAGGCGCAGTAGGGGTCTCGGGCCAGCAGGCAGTCTGGCTGGGACTGATAGCGGCTGCAGTTGGCCAAGGGCAGCTGGAGAACCTCCGATCGAGAGCCGATGTACAAGTACTTCTACACACAGAACGCAGAGAGAAGAAGACAAAGAACAGATCCAGCCATCGCCCAGAGACAGAAACCAGAGAGAGATGGAAAAAGAGAGAAGGATAAACAGAGAGGGACTCAGTTATAGGAGATAATGGGATAATCACTCTCAATTACAATAACATTCACCCCCATGACCCTCTTCAAATCCAATCTGGATTGCGCTCTTTTTACAAAAGCTGTTATAAAATGTCTGGTCGCGGCTTAGTCAGCTTTAATGAGATAAGCAGTGGGCTTTGGGGCAGGGGACGCCCCGTCAAAAAACAAGCATCGATCGGTGGACACGGCCCGTGTCAACACACAGGCTCCGGTGACAGGACAGGGACTCTGAGAAAACAACCGGGGCAGAGGTTCAACTCCCCGCGGAGGTGAAGGACTGTAATTACTGTTATTGTGAAGAGGGTTTTGTATTCATGAGGCGACGCTCAATCTGGAGAATAGCAGTGTTTAAAAAGTGATAATACAATTTTCTGAGTGGCAGCAGGCCAGTGTCAGTAGATCTGAGATTGTAAGTGCCTGGCAAAAAGGGTTTTAACGGACCAGCAGAGAATAGATAATGTTTACATTCAACGATAGATGGTTAGATTCACAAAGTGCTCTGTGCTTAACACAAGCTAGCAATACATTTACGTTCCGTGCAACAACATAAACAACGTCAGTAAATGCCCCCACTAACGAGTATCTGATGCTTTTATGTGTCATAAAAACTGTGGTTGCTAACAAGTGACCAAATAAGACTGATAAACATCATCACATCGAAAACTAGCCGCCTTCAGCTTAGCGGTTGTGAAGTCATGTGATCGTGATACAGTTTGTTTATAGCCTCATGTTAGCTATTTACTTCTGGTGATTGCATTTATATTTCCCTATTAACTATTAGAACTATTAGAAAGTCCATAAGTGGATATGTGGAGATTATCTTGCTGAAAAAAACATTTAAAGATCTTTTTATTTTTTGTCAATTTATTGAACATGTCAGAAACAAAACATACAACATGAATAATAACATATATATATATATTCTTTTTTTTTCACTCAAAATAATAATTATAACAAAGTACAAAAAAAAATAATACAAAAAAAGAAAATAATAATAATTCTCAAATAGTCTGTCATGTTCCACAGGGGCAAGAAGAAGCTTAAAAAAAACTTTTCTGGTCCTACCCCCTCTAGCATACATGTTCCTTATAAATAAAATATTAGGTCATCGTCATCAGCGACATGTTTGTCTTGTTAATTTTTTTTTTTTTTTACAAAACAATCAGAAAGGAATTACTTTTACAATTACAAGAAATAACAAATGGGATTTGACAGGTCCTGTTCATAACCATAAATGATTTGGCTCCTAAATAATACATGTGTGTTTGCCTCAGATCTTGTTTTATGGAATATACCAACACCCAGTTCCCCACTCGATCGTTGTTGCAAAGAGTTAGGAAAACGGAGACGACAAAATGCTCCTTAGCGTCTACCCAGATAGTGCTGAGTATTTGAACATGTGTAGGAATAGGTGTTGAGATATGGACATTATATTCTGTAAGGTATAGTAGGCTACATTACGTTATAAAGCAGAAGTCATACTGTGATCATTGAATATCAATGAAGAAGTGATGCAACAGAGAAAGAAGGAAAGCTAAAGGAAAACCAAAACTCTTGGTTCAAGTCGATCAGAGGAAGTGCAGTGTGCAAAAACAACAAAGACACTTTGAGGTGCTTTTCCCCTGAAAGAGCATTAAGGTTTCTGATCATACATAAAACAGTACATCAAGCAGATGGCTTTAGGCTACCATACTGAGTTAGAACAGCTGGAAGCTCAAACCTTCAAATGATGAAGGATTCTCCTCCAGAGCCACAAAGGCATTTGACATCCTTACTCATGCATAGGCTTTAGCATTAACCGTTTGGTGCATGTGTACAAATGGGAATTATTTCGTACTTATTATTGTTATCACTGGCTGCTAGCACAATTACTTATAATGGTCCCTTACTGTTTAGATAGCGTGTGTGCCAGCAGCTGTTATTAATAAAACACATCCTTTATGAAACTTTTAAAATAGATATCTTTACTGTTTATTTGTACTGGCTGCTGGTTCACATACTTTTTTATGTCCACTTACTTTTACAAGGCTTCTACTTAATTTACCATGGTAGTGTACTTTTTAATTAATTTGATTAACGTCTGCTTTGCTCTTTATTTCAGATGACTTTATGCTGCACTGATCCTTAGCGGTTAAAACTGTACATTTTCCCCTGAGACAAATAAAGGATTTCAGATTCTAATTAAAACTCTTTAAGCTGTTTGGATACTGTGAATGAAACAGTATGTTATTAATAACACACATCCTGCACGTCACATTGGACTTTAGTTTAGTTAAGTTATACAACATTTTTATTTTTGACTGTTGAAGTGTCCCCTCTGTGAGACCAATAAAGGATGTCTGATTCTGAATTGCAATGGAAAATTAAAACCCGTTAGCTCTAGATAGCTCTAGATTATTCACTAACTGTTATTCTACGCACGAAAAGTTTATTATTCCGCCGACTTATTTTGCCGCGCTTCTCCTCCCGCATTGAACATCGCAGAAACTCCGTTCAAACATCAAAACGTTCAACTCGGTCGGGAATCGATGGCTATTACTTTTCTCATTCATAACTTTCATAATTCCAGAGATACATCCCATAATACATCACATTTTTAACCATTGAAGTCAATGGAGAAATTCTTTAACTTCAACAAATCTTCATGCGACTTCAACTGCTAACTGTTCATTCGTACTTTCACTCAGAAACCTCATTCTAACTTTAAAATGTTACACATCTTTCTGACATTATTCGTGTAAAACAACTTTTAAATCTGATTCTTACTTTTAGAGATATTAAACATTGTTCAGACCTTGTTTTAGAGGTTTTCTTCAGATTTTAACATTAACTAGAGTGCGTGATGTCACAGCTAGAGGGT